AAATAATTAATTAAATAAATGAATAAATAAATAGATAATCAAATAAACAAATAAATAAACAAATAAATAAATGAATAAATGAGATCCAATGGGGCAAAAGGTAAAGGAAAATTTAAATCTCACCAGGAAACACGATGGTGGAGGTAGTAACGTCATGAGATGAGCAGCTGCTGGAGGGATAGGAAATACACCACCAGGTACAGAGTGAAAACCAACTAAATAAGTAAAAAATGAATGAGAATCCCATCTAAGGTTAGGTGGCAGGAAGGCACATGTATAACTGAAAATGCAGTGCTGTTTCTTTGTGCAGGTGAGGGGTCTAGAAAGGTTCACTGGGGTGCCTGTGAACATACAACGTTAACCCTGGGAGGGGTGCACCCTTATAATCAAAGGAGGGAAAAACATTGTTTTGTATTGGTCATCTTCGAAGTAGGGGCATAAGGTTGAATCAGGGAGGGGTGTGTACCCCCTGTGCCCCTCCCCTAGATCCACCCCTGGGACCCTGTCAAAATAGGCTCACTGACATGTAGGTATATATGTCAAATGAATTTAGGATGTTGTTTCTTTGAGTTGGTGCAGGTCTGAGGAACGTTCACTGGGGTGCCTGTGAGCCCTCAATCGTCCTGCGCAGGACCATCCTCAAAAAGTGACAAATAGGAGAGTACTGCTAGGGGTATATATGATGACTGCATTTAGAATGCCGTTTCTTTGAACAGGTCTATTAATTCAGACTAATAAGATATGAAGAGATAACCAACCTGTTCCAGAAGTTGGTTTAAATGGCATCATCTGTGTTGTGTCTGGGAGAGGGAATTTTACAGTTTTTTCTTCGGTTATTTCTTCTTGTAGATCTACACATGATATCGGAGCAGATATAACACCTATCTGTCTTAGGGGACCCTTGAATGAAAAATAACAAAAAATTAGTACAGGATACCAAGTAGAGGTTTTACTCCCTATGTGAATTAGCCATGCCCTGACTTTGATCAGCCCAGAGGTTGTTTCAGGGTTCTATCTGTGAGTTAGCCATGCC